AAATTAGTGTATTTTCCATGCATGACAGCTGCAGCTTACACCACCACACTCACTTGTAAACACATCAGAACCTGACCAATCAGAATCACTCATTCAGCTGCTTGGATCACCACTTCAACTCTTGTACATGTCTGACCAATCACATTCACTCATTCAACTTATGTATGTAGCTAAAATACCTCATGTAATAGCCCAGGCCAGCCAAAATCACTCATTACTGGCTGCCCTGGAGCTAAATTCCCTCATTATTGTCTATATAAGGAGGCTCTCCTCCCAGTTGTTGTCTCCTCAGTGTATTATTCATCAGTCACAGTTTAGTACCACTCAATCACAGATATACCACCTTTACATAACCTTACCAAACACCAATAACAACTAAACTCATTTTTCAGCATCACACAAACTCATTCCCCTATCACTTGATTAAAACTTGCCAAGCTGAGCTTGGTGGGTCTTGTTATCTGATATTATAGAAGGGCAGAGCTTGCACCTCCACCATCCCCTTCTCCATTCAGCAAAAAGGGTCTTACAACCACTTTTTGAGTCTTACACCGAGAGAATCCTCTCTGCCGTGGAGGTGTGTACACCTCAACGGCCAAGGCAGTTTTCCTCTCGGCCATCGAGGTGTACACTCTCGCAGCCAAGGGGTAAACTCTCGGCCATCAAGAGTGTACCTCAGCGGCCGGGAGGAATCCTCCCAGCCGCTGCCGTGTCTTTTGGTTCATCGACCCCCAACCCTGGTCGGTTTGGGAGGATCCACTCTCAAACCGACCGGGGATTTTTATTATTTTTTATTATTTTGTTTAGGGAGTCGACTCCCAAACCAGTCAAAGGTTTTGGGAGTTCGACTCCCATTTTTCGGGGAATCCGGGGCTTGGGAGTCGGCTCTCCAGTTTTTGGGAGTCGTTTGACCAAGCCCCTTTTTTTTATTAAAAAATACGGGAGTTGTCCAACTAAAAAACAGGAGTCGTCACCCTAATTCAGGCAAAAATGTTTATTTTTCTTGTTATTGAAAACAATGGGAGTTGCCTGCCTAAAAAGCCCCCTATGTTTATTATTATGGGTGTCATCACCATATAGTGACCCTAGAAAAATAAAATCATGATAAAAGGGAAAAAAAAAACATTAAAAGTTGATCAGAAATGTAGAAAAAACAGGGTAAAAAAGGATATAGAGGGGAAAAAAATCAAGAATTAAAAAAGACACAGTAAAAAAAACCTAGTAGTGGGTCATTGCAGTTGCAATCTTCCTCTCTAAAGTCAATCAGAAACATTCAGAAAACTGGGCTTCCCATCCCCCAGCCTCTTCTGAAGCCTTTTGTTTCCAATCCTTCAAGAGCTGAGGGGCAGGAAAGCATCTTGGTTTATGTAACTGCAAGGGGACAAAATGAGAAAAATCGGATAGAAAAGAAATAAAAATCAGGGTTTTGTTATTGTGGGGGCCAAAAGAAGGAAGAAATTTCTTGCAAAATGTGACAGAAAAAAAGCAAGGTCAACGACTCCTGCAAGACAGAAAAAGCTGAGAACAAGTTTGTGACAATTGGGCTGTTGACTCCCTTTTTGTCAGGTGACTTTAGCCTGATGACTCCCAGTCAAAAAAAAAAAGAAAACAGAAAACCCTGAAAAAAATATGAGAATTGGGACTGACAACTCCCGAATATTAGGCGGACAACTCCCCCCCCCCACCCCCCCAAAAAAAAAAATCAAAATCCAAATCAAAATGGGCGGAAGATGTAGTATGCCGGGGGTATCAAATATAGGAAATCCACCATCAGAAACCAGTCACTTTTCCCAAAAACTTTTTTTTGCATAAATGGGCCCAAAAGGGGTTAAATGGATAACCAACATGTTTAAAAAAGGGTGAATTTTTTCACACCAGTCAATTAAATAATGGTGGATTTGGTTATATTTGATACCCCCAATTGTGTTTTAAGTATCAAATTGCATAAAGTCACAGTCCAATATGTAGAAGGGCATATATTCTTAGGCATATTATGGCATAATTACATTCTACGGGTCATTCAACCCATAGTCACTTACTGGAACCACTAGGCTAGCTCCACTCAGTCAAAAATTATTTGGGATTTAAATTTTATTTGCATACAAAATGCTTATTGCATAATGTAAACCACAAGTTGGCCTTATTTAGTTTACATATTCAATATTCATTGCATAGGGTAACCACAAGTTAGCCACATTGTTTGTATGTACACTGAGAATCTTGTATACAGCTAGAACCACAAGTTGGCCATTTATAGATTATGGGTTAGGGCTAGAACCACAAGTTGGCCATTTATAGATTATTGGTTAGGGCTAGAACCACAAGTCAGCCGGGTTGTAAAATAGAATATTTAAGGAGGGGCTTTCCCCCTCATTCCAATATCTCATCATCTCATCATCTCATCTGATCAGCAACCAGACAGAACAGAGCAATCAATCCATACATTAACCAGTGTGATCTCAATCAAGTGCCCCATTGAGATCATTCAGACTTCGAGAAGCATACATAGAACAAGGAAAGTAACAACCAGTACAACTTGTGATCTTCAGCCATTTGTGCTCTCAACCAAGATTAAGGAGGAAGGGAAAGACACTTTCAATAGTCACATTTTTCCTCAATATCATCTCACAAATTCCCATTCACTATCATTACATACATCAATCATTTTTCAAAATATATAAACATAAAAAAAAACACCTCTTACTCAACAATTCCACTCCAATAGTCTGATGAATACCCGTTGATCTAGGTTTGATAAGAGACTGCTACACATAGTTTTCTCTGTCATCAGTTTTGCCACAATAATAAAATAAAATGTTGTGTTAACTCTTGTGTAGTACAATAGAGGGCCAGGTCTTTCAAACCAGCCGTAACAGTTGTAGTAGATCATTACATACGTGATATATCTCATCTGCTATTTCCCCCTCACAGGACTGCCACCATTCCCAAAGGAGTTCTCACAACAACTCCCATAAAAAAATTGAAATTGATCCAACAACTCCCCGGACCAACCCCTGGGTCCAGAGTTGGTCCAGGAGTGGTCCGCAGACGGTCTTCTCAACGTCAACCAACAAATGGGAGTTGTCAACTAAAATTTAGGAGTTGTTTTTCCAAGCCCCTATATATATGTAGATGAAAAATAAGAATATAAAATGTAAATATCTGAAAGAAAAATATAAGCCAGCTAATCCTGTAGTTACTTTGTCATAAGTTGCAAAAGTATAGTGCGCAATATCATAGCAAATCTACACATAAAATAAAAAAGCCATCCAGCCAATGAAAGTCTTTGACACTGATAAATAGTTGAAATCTAATTAGCAATGTGAAGTGGATTATGATGAGTGCAATCCACAAGGCAAAAAAGCTACATGGCAGATCACGCAGTCCAGGTTATTAATTAAACATCTCGGTGTAGTACCCGTCTGCTGCAGAGTACAACAACCGGTTATTATTTTTGAGTGGTCGGTGACTCGGTGGAGTAATCGGTTTCGGTTTGTTTGGTTTATTCAGTGGAAGATTCTTCCGTTTCGCGGGGGGGCCTTTGGCTATCGCAATGGGGTCACCGGACCCGCGTTTCCCAAGTCGATCCACAAATCCGGTTCCATCTCGCTGGACTTGCCTCCCAGGCTCCTCTGAAAGGAAAAATTCCAGTATAAGAAAGAAGATGGGGGTTAGTTTGAGTCACCAGCACTGACTCTTCAAGAAACCCTTGATATCCGCACTCGATCACTTACGAAGATAAGCGAAAGGGATCAAGGCGGCCACAATCAATAACAGTCTCATCTTCGGCGATTTTATAGGCTTCAATTCTGGAATTTAAGAAGATCAAAAACGAGCTATCAGGATTACGTCCGCTTTTTTGACTCTACTATGAAGATAAGGATGTGGACATGAGGAGAGGTGACTCACCACTTCGAGTCAGATGGTAAGTGAGGAGTTTGCTGCTAGTCAAGCGGAATAATTTAATTTTAATCCTATTGGTTGCACCAGCTGTGTGAGTTGGTTCAAGTAGAAAAGTTTTTGGTAGGATGTGAGTTGTCAGGAATCCCCGATGGGGGCAAGGCTACAAATATCCAATGCGAACCTCTTTCTTCTTCACCTCAAGCCAGACAACCCACCAACGGGAAACAATAGTACGTCTCACTGCCACTAAGTCACGTCTTTGCCATCGGACCGTCAAAGGCGGTGGCAATGGCATGTAAGCCTTCTTTTCCACTGCGCGAGTTCGCAGATACGCCCATACATCACTTGGTGTACAATTCTCCCAAATTTCTCCAATCGCAGACGGGCGGGCGGCTGATCGGTGAAAGCCGCAAAGGTGCGATAGAGATACAAATACAAAAAGCAGATTGAATGCGTATCGTTGCCCGTTATTCCGAGACAGCTTGAGACCGGCCTCAATCCTTCTTGCCATAGCAACAGCCCATCCGGGAGGGGGAAGGGGGAGCTACAATTTAGCCATTATACAGCCAAACCAAGAAAGCTTGCGGTCTCGGTTGGCAGAAGATTTTAAAAAAAAAAAAAACCAGTCGGAATCTTTGGAAGATTACACACCCTGTATGCCTATTCAAATACAGCGGTTACCTGAGTGTGAAGTCCCTATCTTTTTTCTACCTCTTTTCCAGGTCATGAGAGTAAGACCATCGGAATCCTGAGGGGGAGTTTAGTCTCACCAGCCCATGACCTGGATGTCACCCATGCCCCTCCTGCCCATCGAGCTGGCTGGTCGGTCCCTGTCGGTGCTACCAGCAGGTATTTTACAACCTGTACACTTTCTGTATTCTTCCAAAGAGTTCCGACTGCAGTCGGGATTTTTTTTTTTTTTTGAATTTTCTGCCAACCGAGACCGCAAGCTTTCTCGGTTTGGCTGTACATGCCTGCTATTGAAGTCAAGACTGATCTTGTAGATGCTGACTCTTGAGGAGTTCAAGGTATGTATCTGGTGCCAGCCAAAATATGTGCCCGTGCTGTAGTGTGTATTTATGATACCCATATGTGTGCCTGCTTTTCACACACTGTGAGTGCCAGTCGCAATAGATCCACTGATCAGAAGTTGTCTGCATCTCTGAAAGGAAAGAAACTGTGAAACATTGTGTGAGTAGCTAAGACCTGATAATAATGACCTTGAAAGTGAGACACATAGAGACATACTCATAGAAGATGTGAAACCTGAGATTGTTCAATCTGCTGGTTATTTGTGCAAAGAGGACCTTATTTGTTTTCAAGACTCATCGTCAAGTTGGGAAACTGGAGGTTCTGGATAAACACATAGAATGGTCCCCAAAGTTGTACGTTTAGTTGCATGATAAAGGAATCTGACATCTTAGTCTTTGAAGTATCAGTGACGGGCAATATATTTAAGAATTTTGATCGTGTAGTCTTTGAAGGCCGCAGGGACGACTCCAGGTGCCACGGCCATTGGTTGCAGTTATCACATCGATTTGATATTGGATTGGAGTGAAGATGTGTATGTATAAAAGAGTATAAATAAGAATAGTTGAGGAAGCAATTGTGTGATAGATACAAAGATCTCTCTCTAAGCTTTACAACAAAGAAAAGAAGAGGGAAGAGACGATAACAATAATAGTGGGAAGAAAAAAAAACGGCCTGAGTATGATGAGTAAGGGAGAAAAAAAAATACATGATATATATATAGGTCGGGCATACAATCGTAAAAACAAATCAAAAGGAGGTTTTCAGCCGGAAATTCCCAATATAGTGCAACAGAGAGGGAACAGATAGAAGAAGTCGGACGGCAAACAAAACAAAAGACAGCGGTTGGTCTTAGCTTTGGAGCAGGCCGTTCAACTGTGCTTGCATCCTTTCGACGTCTTCGAGGTCGTTTTCTTGCGCAGGTTCAGAGATCTGGGTTGACTGAGATTCCAAATCGAGGAAAAGAAAAGAGGAGTCAGAGTGACGGGAAAATACACACACATGTATATATATTGAGAGGAGGATCGACATACTTGTGGGAGTTTGCTGCTGACTGAACCCATCTGCCCAAGCTTCCCATCGGTGATGTTGAACAAGACATTCTGCACTTCGGCTTCCGCTTCTTCTTCTAGCTCTTCCTCGTCTTCATCCAATGTATCGATTGCATCCTCCACCATCTCCGACATAATTCCAGCCTGAATGATTCCCACATAAGCCACAATTTAGCTTTCCGCCCTGACAATTTGAAGGAGTTTTTTTTATGTCTACCTCGTTAAAAAGAAGATCTTGTATGGGTAAGATAGGGTGGACTGACTTTCATCATTTCTTGCGACATCTCTTGCATCGTTTTGTTTAGCTCGGGTAGCTTCATTAATGAGTTTGATAGTTTCATGATCTCCGTTGATTTCTGTAGTGTACCTGAAATCTTGAGGGTGGCTGAACGATTTTTAACGATATATAGATTTTTATCAATGATTTTGCGGGATTGAGGATATGATTTGGGAGAGTAGACTTCAGCCTTTTGGAGGAACCAAGAAGAGGACTACTGACCAAGTTGATGTTGAAGTTGCATCCGAATCGAATTGAGTCTAGCTTTAGATGTAAACAGCCGATCCTTCTGTTTATTACTTCTGACGATCTCCTTGGCCAAGGTTTTACAGTTCTTGAGGTCGTTCTTGGCGGCTAATTGTTTGAGTTGGATCTTGACTTTGTTCTGGGCGTTCTCGATCCCCCGGATCTCGCGGTCCATCTGTCGTTCTTCCGTCCTGATCTTCGCTTGCCATTTTCGTACTCTCTCTTCAGGACTCGGTCCGTATAGAAATCGGTTCACCGACTGTGGTTGTTTTTTGAGTTGCCCGGTTTTAATGTTTATGGTTTTTTTTTTTCGGGGGAAGTTGATTAGTATATTGCTAGGTTATGGTTTTTTTTTTCTGCTCGGACTAGTTTGAAACTGTACTCGCCTCCATGTCGTGTTCGTTCCGATTAGAAGTTGTATTGAAAAGTTGAGGATGTAATTTGGGTTTTAATTTTTTTGTTTGATTGTGTTGTGATTTGGGATGGCAGTCAATGAGTCCGAGTTTGTGATCCGAATATCGCCTACGAGGGAGGCCAACGAGAAAGAAAGAAGTCAAGATATTTAACCAAATTTTTGTGTTCGTGTTGAGGTAGTGTTTGTCTTTCAGAGCTGGCTTTTTGGGCGGCGGGCCGCGGTGACCAGTTTGAAGACAATTTGACCGAGCGGGCGGGCCTGAACCCACGCATACATATGTCCAATAGGCCCGGCCAAAGTCAAGGATTAACCTGAGCCAGTACTGCACCGAAGTAGGCTTATATGACGGATGCCGCATTGAAAAACTGGATCAATCTTGGCCATACCAGAAGTCAAAGCCATCAATTCAGCCTGCGTGTGTTCATGCACGCAGAGAGGCCAATTCCTCAATTCTGCTTCTTAGGTAATTCAAATGCCCACTTCCCTGATCTGGAAGGTCTTTGCAGGCTTATAATCTCCAGAATTCATTCTGATAGGAAGATTGACTCCCAATCTCCATCCATTATTCCACATCTCAATTTTGTTTTCCTGTTATATTCTTTCTTCGTCTTTCTCAGACCAATTTTCTCGTGACAGACGGGTTGCTGAGTGCAATCCATCTAAATTGGCACATTTGAGCTGCTCCTTTTCATTGGGAAGATAAGACTCCACCCAGTAGTTTTGTCCACCGAAAGCTGCCATCTTGCTATAGTGACCCATTGTACAAAAAAACACTCTTCGTCTTGCCTAGGTGTACTTGAACCATCTATCAAGATATAAGGGGACGTTTATGCACCCAAGTTTTCAGGTTCCATATGTGCAAACGGAAAATAAGCTGCGAAACATCTCTCGACTCATGCATTAACAGGAATTGGTAAGCAAGCGAATAGTACAAGATTACTAGGGCTTCATGAACAACCAAAAACAGGACCGAAATAGCTTATGAAAGTAGAAACGTGCAAGTTTTGCTATTATTGTGAAATGATACACAAATGAACAAGGTGATGATATTTTCTATCATATCACATCCTTTTCTTCCTTGCTTTTCCACTTTCGATGTTCTTTGATGAAATTTTTTTCTTAAAAAAAAGGATGGCCGTGAAATTTCTGGACAAAGAAACAAACAAATCGAGATTGAAAGTACAAAAAAGCGAGAGAACGGAACGAATTGAATAGATCTAGTAATACAAGAAACGCTATCTCGAGAATATTTGTTATATATTTTTATAAGATAAAAAAGGAAAAGAAACCAGTTCCAGTAAATTGGACGGATTGAGATTTTAGAGACCCAAGTGATCAGGAAAGTCAGGTCCGGGACGCTTCTTACGGCGGGGATAGTCGCTTGGTTTCCGGCGGCGAGTGGCGGGATTAGACTGAGCGTTAGCGGGATTGAAGGACGGCGAGAGTGGCGAGTTCTCGATCATCAGATCGGTCGAATGGAAGCCAACATTCGCGGTTGTTTTGGAGTGGCTGTTCGGCTTCATGCTCGGGTTCGATGGATGATCATTCTCGGTCACAGACTTGGACGAGCGACCTTTGGCTTCCAACTCCAGTCGAAATTTTTCAAACAATTGGTATGCTGTGTACACAAATGTCAGAAACTTTCCAATCAAGTCGTCAGAGAAAGGAAGAAAAAAACTGACTGAAGTTTTGAACAGAATGGGAATACTCTTTCAAGGCTTGAACCTCTTTGCAGCTCAGTTCCGAGATTTCGGAGACTGGAGAGGTTTGTCCTTGATCGGAATGATCGCGGATGGATGATGGTTGGGGGCTATCCGACAGGATGCTGCTGGTGCTCGAGTGCTCAGATGAAGATTCAGACATGCTGAAGAGTTTTGACGGTGCTGTTTTTGGTGGGGTGCGATGTATCTGGATCGGGGGTGGGTTACAGAGAAGAGCAAACTGGGCGTCAGTCTCAGAGCAGGGCCCCTAATCATTCAGGCCTGCACAGCTTACAGGGTTTGCCAAAGGTGATAGCAGAAAGGCGCCGGGCAGAAAGTGCTAGATATGTATCGATACAAATTCAAGTGATGACGAAGGCCTCTCAGTTATGAACGAGGCTTTGTTCTGGGGGTGAACGTATTGATGGGGAAGGTTGGTGGGGAAAGTATGGGGGAATGAAGCCTTACGAAAAGGGTGAATTTAGTTGGACAAGGGCCGATAAGAGGTGAGGGGCTTCCCAATTGGAGAGCTCAAGGGAATGTTAAGAGCTGTTGAGTGAAGGACAGAGCAGGTAATGAAGCCGGAGAGTATCGGTTCTGGTGAAA